AAAAAAAAAAAAAAAAAAAAAGGCTGCATAATTCAAAACACCACACAAATCTGAACAAATCTCCAAAAACCATCTTGAGACCAGGATAAAATGAAATGCAAGTTTCTGCAATGACAGAACACCCATGTATGTGTCTGGTATTTCAGGTTACTGATGTTAGGGAATAACACTAGTACTGATACTAGTATTATTTTTTTTTAATTATTTATTTATTTTTATAGTACTTTAGGTTCTGGGGTACGTGTGCAGATCATGTGGGATTGCTGCATAGGTACCCACATGGCAATGTGGTTTGCTGCCTCCATCCCCCCGTCACCTACATCTGGCATTTCTCCCCATGTTATCCCTTCCCGACCTCCCCATTCCCCTGCTGTCCCTCCCTTGGCACACCCCAACAGACCTCAGTGTGTGATGCTCCCCTCCCTGTGTCCATGTGTTCTCATTGTTCAACACCCCCATATGAGTGAGAAAATGTGGTGTTTGATTTTCTGTTCTTGTGTCAGTTTGCTGAGAATGACCATTTCCAGGTTCATCCATGTCCCTACAAAGGACACAAACTCATCATTTTTTATGGCTACATAGTATTCCATGGTGTATATGTGCCACATTTTCCCTGTCCAGTCTATCTTCGATGGGCATTTGAGTTGGTTCCAGGTCTTTGCTATTGCAAACAGTGCAGCTATGAACATATGTATGCATGCATCTTTATAATAGAATGTTTTATAATCCTTTGGGTATATACCCAGTAATGGGATTACTGGGTCAAATGGTATTTCTAGTTCTAGGTCCTTGAGGAATTGCCACACTGTCTTCCACAATGGTTGAACTAATGTACACTCCCACCAACAGTTTAAAAGTGTTCCTATTTCTCCACATCCTCTCCAGCATCTGTTGTCTCCAGATTTTTTAATGATCACCATGCTAACTGGTGTGAGATGGTACCTCACTGTGGTTTTGATGTGCATTTCTCTAATAATCAGTGATGATGAGCATTTTTTCATGTTTTTGTTGGCCATTTTATGAGACTAACATCATCCTGATAGCAAAACCTGGCAGAGGCTCAACAAAGAAAGAAAACTTCAGGCCAATATCCAGGAGGAACATCTTCGATAAAGTAATGGCAAACCAATTGCGAAAGCACATCAAAAAGCTTATCCATCACGATCAAGAAGGTTTCATTCTAGGGATGCAAGGCTGGTTCAACATACACAAATCGATAAATGTAATCCACCCCATAAACAGAACCGAAGACAAAAACCACATGATTATCTCAACAGATGCAGAGAAGGCTTTCGAAAAACTTCAACAGCCCTTTATGCTAAAAACTCTCAATAAATTAGGTATCGAAGGAATGTATCTCAAAACAATAAAAGCTATTTACAACAAACCTACAGCCAATATCATACTGAATGGGCAAAAACTGGAAGCATTCCCTTTGAAATCCGCCACTAGACAAGGATGCCCTCTTTCACCACTCCTATTCAATGTAGTATTGGAAGTTCTAGTCAGAGCGATTAGGCAAGAATAAAAAATAAAGGGTATTCAATTAGGAAAAGGAGGAAGTCAAATTGTCTCTATTTGCAGATGACATGATTGTATATTTAGAAGACCCTATCACCTCAGCCCCAAATCTCTTTAAACCAATAAGAAACTTCAGCAAAGTCTCAGGATACAAAATCAACGTGCAAAAATCACAACCATTCCTATACACCATTAACAGACTAAGAGAGAGCCAAATCATGAGCAAACTGCCATTCACAATTGCTATAAAAAGACTAAAATACCTAGGAATAAAACTAACAAAGAATGTAAAGGACCTCTTCAAGGAGAACTACAAACCACTGCTCAAGGAAGTAAGACAGGACACAAACAGATGGAGAAACATTCCATGCGCACGGTTAGGAAGAATCAATACCGTGAAAATGTCCATACTGCCCAAAGTAATTTACAGATTCAATGCTATTCCCATCAAGCTACCAATGACCTTCTTCACAGAACTGGAAAAAAACACCTTAAACTTCATATGGAACCAAAAGAGAGCCAGCATAGCCAAGACACTCCTAAGCAAAAAGAACAAAGCTGGAGGCATCACGCTACCTGATTTCAAACTATACTACAAGGCTACATTAATAATTAGTATTATTAAGCTGTTAGTAGAAAACCCTGTTTCTCACTCACACATTTTGTTTGTTTAATATGGGTCCTCAGCTTTGCCTGTTACTAATTCTGAAAGAGGGAATTGTGCTCTGATAAAACACCTATTCAAAATTCTAGAGGCTGTGGATTTTCTATTCTTCTGCCACAAACAGTATTGCCATTGTCCAAATATAATTCTACCAACCCAAATAAGTTTTACAAAAGGCAAACTTTTCACATAGTATCCAATAATTATGCAAGAGAAACAATGGCTTTTTAACAGGAATAATTAACTGCAATCATCATTCATGTTTTATACTCACTGTCTGCATGGCTTGGAAGGGTGCTGTGTTAATGGTTACTGAACTACTACTTGCTGGAGGTGACTGGAAGCCCTGTTCAGAGCCCTTTGCCATGGAAGGATTTGCAGAAGCTAGTGAAGACGCTTTCTTGCCTGGGGGAATTGCTGCCTGGGGACGAGAAATGCAGTATCAGCCAATCACCTGCCACATAACAAGCAGTTAACTTACTCTAAAACCCAAACACAAAACAAGCAGTTAACTTACTCTAAAACACAAACTGGCATAAGTCAGCAAGTTCTTTAGGATGACATTTGGACACAGGAATGCAAAAGAATAGCTTTTGCTTACAATTTCAAATCTCAATTGCTGAGGATGCACACCAGTATTTGCTTTGCACAGCTTGCTGACTAAGTCAGAGTCTTACCAATAATCAGTCTAATAGATGAGGGACTCAACTTTTTACAAGCACCTAGTCCTTTTCAAACCCTGAAATGGTACTTTCCAGTTAAGAACCTAGTATTATTCAAAATTTATACAGCAGAATTGGATTTAAGAAAAACCTTGGGTTAGTTGTCTAGTATTAATTTTTCTCTATTTTAAACACTTATTAGTGGATTTCTAAGTCAGCTACCTAAAACAGAAAACAATTCTAATCCAATTTAAGTAATCCTTACCTAAGGAAGCCACAAGTTCCTGACATAACAGATTATAAATCCAAAGGCTTAAAAAAATACCAAAAACCAATCTCAACTAGATTGTGAAGCAGATAGCTATGAGTTACTTGGTAACAATCACTTCTTCCTCTTCTTAAAATGATGAATGAGATAATTTAAATTTAGATCATATCAGCACCATAGAAACTAAGGATTACCTATATTTTCTTATATTCTATAATGCATACATATCCTTAATAGTTAACAAAATATATCTGATAGTTGCTAAATTACCCCTCGAAATTCATTTTACTATGTCCATCTCAAGGATTTACTCAAGCTTAGCAAAAACTATAACTCAGAATTGAAAGCACAAACATAATACTCTAAACTCCTTTTTTTTTTTTTGAGATGGAGTCTCACTGTGTCACCCAGGCTAAAGTGCTGTGTTAACGGTTACTGAACTACTTGCTGGAGGTGACTGGAAGCCCTATTCAGAGCCCTTTGCCATGGAAGGATTTACAGAAGCTAGTGAAGATGCTTTCTTGCCTGGGGCAATTGCTGCCTGGGGAGGAGAAATGCAGTATCAGCCAATGGTGCGATCTCAGCTCACTGCAACCTCCACCTCCTGGGTTTAAGCAATTCTCTGGCCTCAGCCTCCCGAGTATCTGGGACTAGAGGCACATGCCACCTCACCTAGCTAATTTTTGTATTTTTAGTAGAGACAGGGCTTCACCATGTTGGCCAGGCTGGTCTTGAACTCCTGACCTCAAGTGATCCACCTGCCTCAGCCTCCCCAAAAGGCTGGGATTACAGGCATGAGCCACCGTACCCAACCCAAAATACTTTTGACAAAGCCAAAACAAAACTAATTCATTTCAACTCAGTAGGTGCTAATATTAACAATATAAAGTTATTGAGCTTTTAGTTACACAAATAAGAGACTTTTCTCCTTTTTCAATGTAAAAGTCCTTCAATGTAAAACTTGACTTAATGCTCCCTATACTTTTTTATGTTAAAATTGACATTTATTGCACTAGATACGGCAATACAATATTATATCTATTTATGTGGCAAAGCCACAATAAAGTTACCTGTGTAAGTTCCAAGATCACAACATCTATAGAAAGCAATACATTAATAAAGTATAAATGTTACATCATTCAACTAATCATGCCTGTAATTCATAAGATAAACTGGTTCTGCTATTCTTTAAGACACAAAAGAAATTAAGACAATTGGTCTTTTACCTCAGGAGTCTCTGAGGTCATAAACTCTGTTTCAGATCCAGAAGAAGCCTGATCAGTAGTAACCAAGCAAGCATTTGAGTTACAAGTAACCGGAGAAGAAGTAGCCTAGACACAGGAAAAAAGGCACATTTTGTTCACTTTATAATTCTTGGGCCCTGGTCTTCCTAATATGTTACTCTAACTGAACAGCCATATGTGCCAAGAACACTGCTAAACACACTTTACACATGTTAATATATTTAATCCTAACAGTAATCTGTGAGGTAGATACTATTCTCGTTTTATTGACAATTAAGCAGTGGCAAAGAAAGGTTAAGAAATTTGCCCAAGATCACATTACAATTAACTGGCAGAGCTGAGATTCAAACCCAAGCAGACTGCTACACTGCCTTTCCAGGCCCGGTCACAAAACTACACATCTCATCCCATTTTCACTGATTCTTGGCCCTGCACTAGATACCATTCACAGGAAGGTGAGTGCTGGGCACCTTTAACAATGTACGCACAGCTCTGCCAGAGATCGTAATAACGATGCTTTCACGCTAAGTACTATCAGCGTCCGAAAGAGGCAGGCTGAAGTATAAACAGGACGAATAAGCTCTACATAAATCAGAATGAAAATTCCAGTGAAAAATTAAAGTTGATAGTATGTATAAAATAAAAATTGGGAGGAAGCACATTAGGAACTAAAGTTGTGACAACTGTAGCCAACAGAAAATGAAAAGAGTAGCTAGGAAAGACCTCTATGGCACAACAGGTATTCAAATATAGCAGAGACACCCATAAAAATCTGGCAACAGCAAGATTCAAAGTGTCAGCAAATCCACTCCTTTTATCTAAATGCTTCTGTGTGGTTCTCAGAAGCCCAAGTAATAAAATAGCTGAACTGGAAACTAATGAAGGGTAACAAAACAGAGAAACTATGTTTCTGTGACCTTCTTGAAAAAACCATTATGGTATGCTGCTTTTTAGGAAGAAGAATGGGGATTAAGTTTTACGATCTTATGGAAAAAAAATGTCAGAAACCCTTCTGAACATTTTATATAACCAAATAAATAGGCATAACTTAGATCTGGCCAAAATACTAGAACCATCATGAGATTAGAGTGTTTCTAAAACTAGGTCTTTCTTTTGGCTCTGTCATTAATGAGACAAGAGCCCAAGAAAAGCAGAACTGGCTGCTGTGGGGAAATAACTCTACTGCTGAGGGAAATTCCACAGATGCTAAGTTAAGGCATCTTCGGCCATTTGATAATCTTTAAATGGCTTGAATTTCAGTTAAAAAGTTCATTTAATAACAAAGACATTTACATTAGTATTTATTTAGAAGTGATGGCAGTTCTTCCTTCCAAATTACCATTCTTTAAGTAGACCAGTTGGAGGTGGGATGATGGTGAATAAACATGTTTGAAACTAATGTTCCAAAAAACGGGTGCGAAGATTTATCCAGAAAGCTCTTGTCTTTTTGAGACGTTGTCTTGCTTCATCGCCAGGCTGGAGTGCAGTGTCATGATCTCAGCTCACTGCAATCTCTGCCTCCCGGGTTCAAGTGATTCTCCTGCCTCAGCCTCCCGAGTAGCTGGGACTATAGGCGTATGCCACCATACCCGGCTAATTTTTTATACCCTCAGTAAAGACAGGGTTTCACAGTGTTAGCCAAGATGGTCTTGATCTCCTGACCTTATGATCTGCCTGCCTCAGCTTCCCAAAGTGCTGAGATTAAAAGCATGAGCCACCATGCCCAGCCCAGGAGGCTTTTAAAAATATAGGTAACACCCTAGAAAATTGTGCTCCAACAGGTGTAAGCTCTTATCTAGAAATGTGTATCTGATGCACCCATCCCACAGCCTGCACCAGAGAACTACTAACCTAGACTAGAGCTTTTAAAAAACTTTAATTTGTCAATTGAAAGCCTTATGCAGAATCCTAAACAGCTAGAACAGATAAAATTTAACTGCTTTAGTAAAAGCAGTGAGTGAACTGGAGGAAAGTAGGAAAAACCCTAAAATACCCTGCTCAACAAATACAGTTTGAAAATTAAGAGCTGGGTGCAGTGGCTCACATCTGTAACCCCAACACTTTGGGAGACTGTAGAGGACGACTGCTTGAGCCCAGGAGTTTGAGACCAGCCTGGGCAACATAGTAAGACCCATCTCTCTTACGGAAAAAAAAAAATTGAACCACCACCTCACCAAAATATATACAAACCACTGTAAACAAATGTTATTTACTCCAAAGCTTTAGAAATAAAGGGCTACAACTGTTGAACAACCTTGTCAAAATGTTTAACTTATAGTAAAAGCAGCTACTGTCAGGAGAACTGCCATAAGCTTTTCATAGGGACACAGAGAAATTTTTGTTCTAAGGTAATGACGAGAAAACAAGTGAACCTTCTTACTATTGATGGAAATGGAACTGGCATTCATTTAGCAATGTCAGTGATCTGGTCCATTTGTATCTCTAAGTTTATTCTGTAAAAATAAGTTCCACAGAATGTGAACTACTGTAGGGGGTAGGGGACTGGTTAACAATGAATTAAACACAATTAATTTCTTTCTACAGACCCTTTACTATGCTAATAAATTAAACAACTTAAGTAGCTCAAGAGAACATAATATTCTTAGACAAGGCACCCTCTGATCTCTTCAGGCTTGCTCTCTCCTTACTAAAGTCAGCAAACCTGTATTACAATAGATGTTTTCAGCATAGTCATCAGGTAATCATTTTAGGACAAGTTATATTTAGTCTACAAAACAAGATATGCTTAGAACATGTTTAATAATTTTATTAGGTACATTAGAATCAGTTAGTCTGATTATTCTTTCCAAAGTAAGAGCTTCTTCCTTCAGTAGCAAAGAAGAATAAAAGATTAATTTGGAAAGTTACCTGTAATGGCTCTTGAAGAAAATCACTTTGACTGGACAAATTTTGTTCTTTAGATGCTGCAAGGAGTAAAATAAACAGTAACTACTAAGGGAAGACAAAAGTTTATGCATATCAACTAGGAGGAAACTAAAGTATACACTTCACAGAAAAAGGCATTAGCTGGAAGGACTAAGTCTCAAGTTCACCATGCATTTTAATCTATTCGAGTTTTAAAAAGAGAACTGTAGAAGAATGGAAAATACTAGTTCCACTGTGACACAGAGTGATGTTTTAAGGTTGAATGGGCAAAGTAGCATTTCAAG